GAAATTCATAATACTTTACAAAATGAACATGAAAGAGGCATTATTACAATTTATGTTTATTTCATTTCAATTTTTTCACAAGAATTTATTCAAACTCTTGATTTTTTCCAACAAAAAAATCTACCAGTATTTCCTTATATTGAAAGAAGACTTCAGCATCTTACAGCATATTTAGAACTGCTGAAAATTTTGGTTCAGGTCTTGATGAATTAATTCTTAGTCTTCATTTTGTTCCTAGAGATTTTTATCCAATTTTTCGTGCTGCATTTGAAGCTGCATTTTTAAAATTTTCTTTACATATACCTAATCATCCAGCACGTGAATTATTTTGTGCATGTAGAGTTTTTGATCCTGTTTTTATTCATCTGGGAGATATTCAACGAAGAAACATTAGACTTTATTCTACAATTGTACCATTTAACAATCCTTCACATAATCTTTTGTATGAATGGGGCATATATTGTGGATTGGAAACTCCACTAGATTTAGGAGAAAATATGATTGAGAAGTTTTGGTTAGATAAAGTGAATGAATTGCCAATTTTGTCTAGCATTGCATTAGATTATATTTGGCTACCAATTTCCAGTTGTACAGTTGAAAGGAGTTTTTCTTTTTACAATACCATCTTGGATAATAATCGGCAAAATTTGTCTCAAGATTCTTTAAAAATATTAACTATGATGCATTTTAATTCAAATTAATTAACCTTCCTTCTTTATGTTTATATTTTTTTATGTTTATTATATATCTTTATCTGTTATAACATAATAAACATTTGGTTTATATTAAATTATCAATGTATTTTTATCATAATATTGCCACATAATTTCACACATTTACCAAAAAAGCACCACAAAACTTCACAAATTTTGCAAAAATGAGATCACATAAATTCACAAATTTAGGCTTGAGCACAAAAATATTTTACCTTATGTCACAGGAAAAAATCATCGTCCCTGCTTCTTGATCATCATCATTATCATCTTCACAATTTTGGTCATTTTCATCATTATTTTCTAATATTTTTGAATCATCTTTCTCTAATGTTTTTAGGAAAGAAGCAACATTATCAATTATACCATTTTCATAAAATCTTGTACAATGACTGCAACATTTTTCTAACATTTCAAAACAGTC